GATGTACTGATAAGTATAATTGATTCATTAGTTCCTGTCAGGATTTAAATCAAATTAGAAACTAAATAAAACAAGGGTTGGAATCAAATCTACTCGATGTTCGCAGATATTTGTGAATTTGTGTGGTCGCTTTAGTGCAAAAGAAAGTAGTAAGCGTTTCGGAAAACGCTCATAGAACTGAGTGCTTGACACTTGTCTGACGTTTTGAGTCTTGATTATGTTCGTTCTTCGAGACAGGGTTCGATGTATTATTATTACAAGAAATAATTTATTTTACAGCCGTGTTTGAGACTTTTGTAGCTTGTACAAAGGTATGATAAAAAAAGACAGCAAAACTTTACAAGGTCAGTCACTTAAGTGTAGCAAAAACAGAGACAAGTAACGATCGATGTCAGGGATGGAAATATTGCATCTATAGGGTTTGGTTTAATTTCCACTTTTCATTTTTTTGCTGTCCATCTGATTATTGTTTTATGCATACAATTATAGAAAGTTACATTAACAAAATCCCAAGAATGTAATGAAATGAACTTAATAAGTAGTTGCTTTTTATTTATTTACATATATATATAGGTATATTTTGTTTTAACTGTTACGTTTAATGAGCCTTGTTAAAGCTCTCATCTCTTTAAGTAAATTAATATTTTACGCTTTTAAACAAAATTGTCTACGGGTTTTTGGAAATTTCAAACTTTCAACCTGCTGAATTTAGTAGATGATGTGTATTAATTATGTACATATGGTTAGGACATTTTCTCCTAGTCTGCAAACTTTTTTTAACTAGTTCAGGAAGTAAACTTAGTCATGCCATAGAATCAACTTGGTGATAATAAGACCTGAATGAAATCAGACACTCAACATGACGTTAGCAATCCAGCTTGTTTGCGAAGGAAAACGCTGTAACACCAAACCAGTCAGCTTGGCCAAGGTTGTTTTCAACGTTTTTCTTCCATGTGCGCGTATGATACATTGATGCTTGACCCTTCGCCATACTGTGATCAAACACTTACACACTTGACCCTTCGCCATACTGTGATCAAACACTTACACACTTGACCCTTCGCCATACTGTGATCAAACACTTACACACTTGACCCTTCGCCATACTGTGATCAAACACTTACACACTTGACCCTTCGCCATACTGTGATCAAACACTTACACACTTGACCCTTCGCCATACTGTGATCAAACACTTACACACTTGACCCTTCGCCATACTGTGATCAAACACTTACACATACTCTTATCTTTGGTACAACCGGGAAAAGTATCTGCTCATGCGCTATGTAATAAACAACAGGTGTCATTTAAGTAGCTGGTATTTTTGTGCTCCTCTATAACGTGAAGTATTGACATTTAACTAGCTGGTATTTTGGTGCTCCACTATAACGTGAAGTATTGTCATTTAACTAGCTGGTATTTTTGTGCTCCTCTATAACGTGAAGTATTGACATTTAACTAGCTGGTATTTTGGTGCTCCAATATAGTGTGAAGTATTGACATTTAACTAGCTGGTATTTTTGTGCTCCACTATAACGTGAAGTATTGACATTTAACTAGCTGATATTTTGGTGCTCCACTATAATGTGAAGTATTGACATTTAACTAGCTGGTATTTTTGTGCTCCTCTATAACGTGAAGTATTGACATTTAACTAGCTGATATTTTTGTGCTCCTCTATAACGTGAAGTATTGACATTTAACTAGCTGATATTTTGGTGCTCCACTATAATGTGAAGTATTGACATTTAACTAGCTGGTATTTTTGTGCTCCACTATAAAGTGAAGTATTGACATTTAACTGGCTGGTATTTTTGTGCTCCACTATAAAGTGAAGTATTGACATTTAACTGGCTGGTATTTTTGTGCTCCTCTATAACGTAAAGTATTGGCATTTAACTAGCTGGTATTTTTGTACTCTACTATAACGTGAAGTATTGACATTTAACTAGCTGGTATTTTTGTGCTCCACTATAAAGTGAAATATTAACATTTAACTGGCTGGTATTTTTGTGCTCCACTATAACGTAAAGTATTGGAACTTAACTAGCTGACATTTTTGTACTCCACTATAAACTGAAGTATAAATTTAACAACGTGTTTCACAGTTAAATATTAGTATATTATGCGGACTTATAACGCTAGAAACCGGGTTTAGATACCCGTGGTGGGCAGAGCACAGATAGCTCTTGTGTAGCTTTCTACTTAACTGCAAACAAATCGTCAGACCTCTGGTGTTTGTTTCTAATGGTAGATTACTAAAATGCCGCCAACAAAGCACGTAAGAAAAAATTCAAGTTTTACTAGACAACTTACATCACGAAGATTGTGTAGGAATATTTTTATAATTACGGTTTTTTTTACATTGTGACTAACTGCTTGATTAAAGATAAATTATTGTTACGGACGAAATATGTTACAAATGTTCATTGTGTTTACTTATTCATTGCACTTCGTAAAACTAAATTGGAGAATAAGCTTTAGCATGCGTTATTAAGTAAACTTTAAAAAGTCATTACTAAGCCTCAGAAAC